TAAAATATATAATCCTTTCGAGACAAAGCTTGACCCAAAAACAAGTCGTTGTTTGTTTATTGGATATCCGGATCGATCTAAAGGATACAGATTCTTTTGTCATGGTAGAGGTAATAAAATTGTGGAGTCCATGCATGCAAAATTCCTTGAGCTTGATGTTGCTGAGCTTGTCACCGAATCTGATAATATTAATTGTGTTATGCCTGATGTTGTTACTTTGTCACTTCCTAATTTTGATAATGCTAGATCATCCACGACTCATGGAGGTTGTGCTCCAAATGAGAATGTGGTTGAACATCCAGTTGAAGATGTGGTTGAACCACTTGTTAAAAATGTAGTGGATCCTCCTATTATAACTGAGGTTGAACAACCTAATGAGCCAGTTGAGCAAATTCATGTTAGAAGGTCAGTAAGACAAAAGCGACCTGCTATCCCTGATGATTTTGTAGTTTATCTTAGTGAGGATGCTTATGATGTTGGTATTGTTATTGATCCTAAAAATTATCTAGAAGCTATTACTTGTTCTCAATCTAGCATGTGGACAGATGCAATGCATGATGAAATGAAATCCATGATAAATAATGATGTTTGGGAACTAGTGGAGTTACCAAGAAACTATAGAGCGATTGGATGCAGGTGGATATTCAAAACAAAGAAGGACTCGAAAGGTAAAATTGAGAGGTTTAAGGCAAGACTTGTGGCTAAAGGTTTCACACAAAAGGAGGGGATTGATTTTAATGAAACTTTTTCTCCTGTTTCCACTAAAGACTCTTTTAGAATCGTTATGGCCCTTGTAGCACATTTTGACTTAGAATTGCATCAGATGGATGTTAAGACTGCTTTTCTGAATGGTGATCTTAATGAGGAGGTGTATATGCAGCAGCCAGAGGGTTTTGTAAAAAGTGGTGATGAGCACTTGGTTTGTAAATTAAGAAAATCTATTTATGGTTTGAAACAAGCTTCTAGACAATGGTACTTGAAATTTGATGAGGTGGTAACTTCATTGGGTTTTGAAGAAAATAAAGTTGATCAGTGCATCTATCTTAAGGTCAGTGGGAGCAAATTCATCTTTCTTGTATTATATGTTGATGATATTTTTCTCGCGAGTAGTGATCTTGGTCTACTTCATGAGACCAAGCTTATGCTAACCAAGTTCTTTCATATGAAGGACCTTGGTGAAGCATCTTTTGAATTGGGAATTGAAATACACAGAGATAGATCACGTGGTGTGCTTGGCTTGTCACAGAGAGCTTATATTGATAGAGTTCTGGAGAGATTTAATATGCAAAACTGTAAGCCAGGAGATGTTCCAATTAATAAAGGAGACAAATTCAGTAAAGATCAATGTCCTAAAAATGAGATTGAGCGGGCAGAGATGAAGGGAAAACCCTTTGACAGTGCATTGGGCAGCCTAATGTATGCTCAAGTATGCACTAGGCCTGTCATTGCTTTCATAGTTGGCGTCTTGGGACGATACCAGTCTAATCCTGGGAATGATCATTGGATTGCGGCTAAGAAAGTGATGAGATATTTGCAAAGAACTAAAGAATGTATGCTTGTTTTTGGGAGAGTTGACAACTTGGAAATAGTTGGGTATACTGACTCTGATCTTGCTGGGTGTGTTGATGATAGAAAATCTACTTCTGGTTACATTTTTATGTTGGCTGGAGGCGCGATATCATGGAAGAGTAAAAAGCAAACTCTTGTCGCCTCTTCTACTATGCAGGCAAAGTTTGTTGCTTGTTATGCTGCTGCCACTCATGTTGTTTGGTTAAGAAATTTAGTAACTGGACTTCGTATTGTTGATTCCATTGTAAAGCCACTAAAGCTTTACTGTGATAATAGTTCAGCTGTGTTCTACTCCAAGAATAATAAAACTTCTAGCGGTTCTAAGCATTTGGAATTGAAGTATTTGACAGTCAGAGATCTTGTAAAGAAAAATGACATTGTTGTTAAGTACATTGGTACTGATTTCATGCTAGCTGATCCCCTAACTAAGGGACTTAGACCCATTGTGTTCAAAAACCATGTTGAGAACATGGGCATTGTGAGTTCTTTTGATGTACTTGGTTAGTGGGAGTTTGTTCTTTATGTCATTTTCTTTTATCATGTTATATTTTATTTTAGAGACTTTAAATGTTGGATTGTCGAGTATTTTCTATTTTAAGCAATTGATATTACAATGATTATTATTATTATTATCATTTGTCATTGTTTATTTACATTTAAATTGCTAAATTTGGGACTCAGTGTCATCGAAACCATTGTGCCTATGGTCGACACTAGTTTGGAGTTCAAGGCATGGTTATTATTTTGAGCTCGGTGTCTTCGGGACCACTATACCGGTGGTTGATGTCATATTGGAGCTGAAGTATGATTTTAAGCTCGGCGTTGTTAGGACCACTGTGCCGGTGGTCGACGCCATATTGTAGCTGAGGCATTATGGTTTGTAAAACCATATAATTTCTTTGTGTTTAATGCATTTGAGAGAAATTGTTAAGGACTGGCGAAGAAAATAGCAAATGGTTGTTGGATCACATTAGCATGTTATTTTCTTGCCACACTCCACACTGATGACTAGTTGATGGAGTATGTAGTATTTGTAACCACGAAAGGTTTTATGTCAATGAAGGACATAATAATCGTCGTGATTCAATACTGCTTAACTTTTGTTGGATGGAGTCATATTCAGATACTGCACCTGGAATCATGGATTTCCTTAAAATGCGGCCGCATTTTAAGGAATTAGTCATTAACACGAGAGTCGTTTTCAAAATGTATTTTAAAATAAAAATCATACAATTGATTTTGTCCAAGTGGGAGAATGTTAGATTTATCTAATATTTTATGGGCTACAATCAATTGTGGTTTAATTTGTAAAAAACGGGTTGATCGAGATTCTGATGGGGTGCATATATAAACCCTTTAATTAATTAAGTGATCAATTTTTAACTAATGGCTGAGTATCTCAAACCTGATTGGTGTGGGTAAAAGTGTGGGCTTTAACCTTGGCCCCATAATGGGTAGGGACTAAGGTTATATATATTATATGGCTAGGTCCCCTCTGTAATCACAAAAAGTATCAGAAACATAACTGACGGCTCCATAACTTGCCCCATTGAAAGTTGTGAACGGGAGTGTGAAATACAGAGGAAGATCCGGTCATTCATCCATTCGAAATTCCGAATCATGACTTCAATAAGTAAGTATTGATGTTTTAATCTCATATAATATCCATGAATATTTCCGCTTACAGAAGATAGAATTTGTAAAAAAAATATGAATAGAGACGATTAGTATTTAATGCTTTAAATAAAATATTAAAAAAATTTAGTATCACATTTTTAAAAAAAATAATAAATTTAATGTGACAAGACAGATGGGTCTACAAATAGTTTTTGAATAAAAATTTAAATTTATTTCTAAATAAGTTAATTGATTTTTTAAATTCAATAATTATAAATTTATTGCTGGAAGTGCAATGAACTGAAATACGGTGAAAAACTCTTTTCTTTCCTATCTTAAATTTTGAATGAAGAAAATAAAGAAAGAAAAAATTGTCAACCATAATATGTAAGACATTTGATCTGTCATAAATTTTGAACATATTTATTTATACAAAATATAGATCAAGACAACTAATTCTCATCCTTTTTTTTTTTTTTTGCAAACCACTCTGATACTTTTCCACACTAGGCTACTTTTTCTACTGCCCCTGTCTTTAAAAAAAGTTCATAATTACACCGCAACTTACATTATTTTGTATGCATTCAAAAACTACATTGCATCTTAATTAAACAATTATTACTATGGTTCAACCTAAGTTAAGCCTTAGTGGAGATTGGGAATTCCCTCCTATATTAATTAATTAATTACTCTCTTCCAAACATGTATTACAAAACTTGAACATGGGCCATTAAGCTTTAAGCAACACCATAATGTGAAGCAACAAATATACTAATTGATTTAACATCTGGACTGTGGACCATACAGTTATAACCACCAAAAAACCAACGAATTTGGATTTACTTTAAATTTATGGATATCATAGATAACAACAATATATAAAATAATCATACAGAATATGCTTTATTTGTTGTATCATCATATAATGCTGCAAGTATATAGACATTCTTATCTCTTATGGGGCCATTCAAGACTAGTGCTTAACTTTGCATATGTCTAATGGACAATACCAATGGACACAAATTCTTCTTGTCACACATTTATATATCTCGACCGAGGAGGAGCCATTGAAAGCCACACTATTTTGTATGGATTGACTCAACACTAGAGGTGACAAATGAACATGTTCGTTTCGCAAAAGTCTTTAAAAAAAGAGACGGACCGACCGACATGAGTGTTTGTTTCGCAAAAGTCCATAAAAAAAAAGACGGACGGACGGACATAATTTAGAGTGCTGGCCTCAAACCATAACTCATCCCACCAAGCGGAGAGACAGACACTACATCTCTAAAATTTAAAAATGAAAAAATTTATATTAATGTCTGAGCTTTTAAAAATCTTCACAAATAAAAATGGAACAAACACATTAGAGAGTGCGGGTTTAAGATTTTAGTTTAAAAGTTCACAAAACGAGCATATCAAATCCGTTTTGTCAAGATGTTAACACAAAAACTATTACCACCTAACAGAATTTGAATGTGAAATTTTAAAAGAAGTACACACTCAGGTCTTAAATTCAGTCCAACTAATCAACATTGGCTCATTAAGGTTGATTAGTCTTGTCATATTATTTAGAACGTGAAAGTAGCACATATTATTGAAAACAAGTTAAAATGAAACAAAGTTTATATTCCACACTATCATAATCAAAATTAGAATATAGACCACAAAACAATACCAATAATACTCTTCATGTGTATGACGTATGTATTAGCTCAAATTTCATAACTTTAGCATAGTTTGCTCACATTATATATAGAGCATTTGTGACACATTCCTTCATCACAAAAATGAGAACACACACAAGAGTAAACATGGTGTCACTAATTTCACCCTTGCCAATTTTTGTCCTTCTATTATCAACACTTTCCTTAAAAGTTTCGTCTTTATTACTTCAAGAAAGTTTTGTCCAATGTCTCAACATGAATTCAGACAGAACATATCCATTTCACACAACCATCTACACTCCAAATCAACCTTCATTCAAAACCATCCTTGATTCCTTAGCAATGAACCTAAGGTGCTTGGCACCATCAGTACCAAAACCCGAATTCATATTCACACCCTCCCAAGATTCCCATGTCCAAGCATCAGTGATTTGTTCCAAGAAACTTGGAATCCATTTAAGAGTAAGAAGTGGTGGACATGACTATGAAGGACTCTCGTATGTTTCCGAAATCGAAACACCATTCATAGTTATGGATTTAATCAAACTTCGCGATATAAACGTTGATACCAAAACCAACACTGCTTGGGTTCAATCTGGTGCCACGATCGGCGAAGTCTATTACAAAATTTATGAAAAAAGTTCGGTTCTTGGTTACCCTGCAGGCCTATGCACAAGCTTAGGTGTTGGTGGACACATAACAGGAGGTGCATATGGAACATTGATGAGAAAATATGGTCTTGGTGTTGATAATGTCTTAGATGCTCTAATCGTCGATGCGAACGGGAAAATTCTCGACAGAAAAGCCATGGGAGAGGAGTTATTTTGGGCTATAAGAGGTGGTGGAGGTGGAAGTTTTGGTGTACTTCTTTGGTGGAAGATAAAGCTTGTTCCTGTTCCACCAACAGTGACAGTTTTTACTGTCACTAAAAGTCTAGAACAAGGTGCTACAAAAATTCTTCATAGATGGCAAGAAGTAGCACCTTTTGTTGATGAAAATCTCTTTGTAAGAGTCATAATTCAACCAGCTGCTAGTGCTACAAACAAAACTCAAAGAACAATCACAACTTCTTACAATGCTGTTTTTCTTGGTGAAGCAAGAACACTACTTCAAGTCATGAAAACTAGTTTTCCTGAATTGGGTTTAACAAGAAAAGATTGTCAAGAAACTAGCTGGATCAAATCTGTTCTCTATATTGCTGGATTCCCAAGTGATACACCACCTGAAGTTCTTCTTAAAGGAAAACCAACCTTCAAGAATTTCTTCAAAGCAAAATCAGATTTTGTGAGGGAACCAATACCAGAAACTGGTATTGAAGGATTGTGGCAAAGGCTATTGATTGAAGATATACCTTTGATGATTTGGACTCCATATGGTGGAAAAATGAGTGAATTTTCAGAATCTGATAGTCCTTTTCCACATAGAAATGGAACATTGTATAAAATTCAATACTTGTCTATATGGCAAGAAGGTGAGAAGAATGTTGCAAAGCATGTTGATTGGATAAGGAAGCTTTATAACTATATGACACCTTATGTGTCCAAATTTCCAAGAGAAGCTTATGTGAATTATAGGGATCTTGATTTGGGAATAAACTCTAAGAATAGTACAAGTTACATTGAAGCAAGTGGTTGGGGTTATAGATATTTTAAGGGTAATTTTGATAAGTTGGTTAAGATAAAGACTAGAGTGGATCCTGAAAATGTGTTTAGGCATGAACAGAGTGTTCCGCCACTTCCTATATGAGAAAAATGGGGAAGACAAGAAATGGGAAAGAAAACAAAAATAAAGATACATTAGGTTTGTTTTTTTGTTTCTTTTAATGTTGTAAGATAGTGTTGATTAAGTGCCTAGTTGTAATGTTTGGTGTATTTGTGATGTGTTTGTGTGAGTGGTTTTAGGTGCTAATTGGTTGTAAGTGTAGTTGTTTCAAGCAAAAAGTGTAGTGCAACTAGTAGTTTTTTTAAGTACGAGAGTTTTCTACATATATGATAATGATGTAAAATAATTGTACTAATATACTCCTACTAGCTTATTATGAATTTGATTTGATAGTTTTTGTATATTTTATTTGTATGATATTGCTCCTTTTTTTTTTTTTTTTTTTTTATATAAGCAACAATATACATGAACTCGACTAAATTTGGACTAAATACACATATTTATTAATTTTTTTAAAAAAAATATTTATCTTTTTCTTTATCTAAAGTGTTGAGTCAGTAAATTTATATCTATAGATAACGGGCATATGAGATTTTGAAATGATCTATTTTTGTTTCAGTAGTATTCTTTAAAAACCGTTACAAGAAAGTCTTCTTACACTGTCAAAGAGTGATGAAAAATAAAATCTTTTCAAGTGAACCATTCAAAACAAACCAATTGTTCAATAGAACTTAAAAGAGAATAAAAGTTAAAGCACATGTAACATCGGACGTGAAATACATTGAACCTCAGTTAGAAAGCCGAGGTAACGAAAGACGTCATGAAAAATGCACACTTTACCTCTCGGTTTTTAAAAAATCGACGGCTAAGTGAAAAGTCATGGGTTTGATCCCCATAGATACCTTTTCTGAATTCTGAAATGGCGAAAACACATGTCCACTTAGTTTTGTAATTTCACAGAAGAATATATCACATTTTCACATCGATTATCTCATAAAATCGAAGGGTAAAACAAGTTTGAGTTTATTAAATATAATGTGGATTGCTTATTTTACTAAACCCTATATAAATCATATAACTTCTCAAAATTAATTAGGAAAATAATTATACGAGCAATTGTGTTATATTTGAATATCAACTTACATTGATTAGTGATTTTGAAGCATCCTGCAACTCCTCATTCATCTCATGATGTTTTATGGTTAAAGTTTCTCCAATATTTCAATTTATTTATTCAACACTTCCTTTTCTACTAATTCATTTTTGAAAACATAAAACTTGATGCTTTGAAAAATGAATAAATATGGAAGAAAGTTGAACAAAAACTAGAAATTTTTGAGAGATTTTAACTATAAAACATCGTGAGATGAACAATTAGTTTCAGAATGTTAGACAATCATTAATCCCTGTAAGATAAGTTTCAAATACAAAATAATTTTTCATATGATTATTTCCAAAATCAATTTACTAGGTTGTATGTTCAAATATGGGTTAATGAAACAAACAATCGGCATTAGATATAATAAACTCAACACAATTCAAAGAAATATGCCACCACAATTCGTATTGAAGATGATATGTGTTTATGACTCTAATTGTTTAGGGTTCTTCATTAGGGTTATGTTTGTGTTGTTTAGATAAATGAAACTGAATTCTAAAGTTATATATATATATATATATATATATATATATATATATATATATATATATATATATATATATATATATATATATATATATATATATATATATATATATATATATATATATATATATATATATATATATATATATATATATATATATATATATATATATATATATATATATATATATATCAAAGAAACATATTCACCTTGATTGGAAAGAAAACCGAGGTTAAAAGTAAGTAGCGTATTTTTAGATTAAAAAAAAAATATTCAATAAGGCGCTACTAGCTAAAGCTATATATATTAGAGAAACATATTCACCTCGGTTGGAAAGAAAATCGAGGTGAAAAATAACGTATTTTTATATTAAAAATAAAATATTTAAGAAGCCGTCATTCTTAATGAGATAAAAACATAAACTGAGGCTGATGAGATTCGAAGTATATACACTAAATAGGTTTACCCCTCAGTTTTCAAAATAACCGACATAATATAATATAATATATATATATATATATATATATATATATATATATATATATATATATATATATATATATATATATATATATATATATATATATATATATATATATATATATATATATATATATATATATATATATATATATATATATATATATATATATATATATATATATATATATATATAAATAGGGTGCGTCCAACAATTATACCTTGGTTTTTCAATACTTGAGATGAAATCATAAGTTGAGGCTGATGAGATTTGAAGCATGTACATTAAATAGGTTTATCCCTCATTTTTCAAAATAACCGACAAAATATATTGTATATATTTTTTTAATAAAAAAATAGGGTGCGTCCAACAATTATACCTTGGTTTTTATATACTTTAGGTGAAATCGTCGTCATAAAGTGTATTATTTGTAGTAGTGTGCCTCATATGGTCATTCAATTCAAATTTTGCTTCATTCATCTTCCTATCCAATCCATTTTTTTCTTCTATACCTAATACTGCTACCCATTTTTGAAATACCCTATGCAAAGTTTCATAATGTTGGTAAATTATAATATTATTTTATGTGTTATGTTTAATTTTGTCTTCCAATATACTATTTTTTCATCTTTGAACGAACCTTTTGCTAATGTTGATAAACATAAGTTTCATTAGTTCATATAGAATGTTTTACTATTTCATATTTGACATATTGAAATTCAGATTAAATGAGCATATTAGCAACTAACTCAATTATTGTGAATCAATATCGCCTAGAACAAATCAAAATATGAGAAAGATTGAGTTTCTTGAACATACACAAGAAATCATATTAGGTTTTATGAAATAGAGAGATGAAGGAAGAAGAATTAGAATTGGTTAAAACTGTTTTACTATTCACTTACTCAATAATGGTTCTAAGGTTACACATGAATAACAACAATTAACCTCTCTCAAAAACCTGAGAGAAATAGTATATTTATAGACTACTAAGCTAACTTAGCAATTGAGTCTACAAGAAAGGCTCAATTCGACATGCTAATGATTCTAGCATTTCAACTATTACATGCTTGAGTATACTTCGACTACAGCATGCAGGATCAACATATGAACAGACTTCGACTACATGCTAAACCTTTTCCGAACCATGAAGTTATTTCTGCAGAGCCTAGAGTTTGATCCAAATACCATAAATATCCACCTTGGAACAAACTAGCTTTCATCATGGAGCTTTATCAACTACATACCGTGGAAAAATTTGCTACTTGACAATGTTTTGGTGATCATTCAACAATATTATCATAAGTCGAAACCTTCAGCACTTGGATTTCTCCACGCTCAATTATCTCTCTGACAAAGTGAAGCCTCATATTGATGTGCTTAGTTTGCTCATGATAGGTTGAATTCTTCTATAGGTGTATTACACTTTGAATATCACATTTAATACTAATAAATTGACCTTGAAGTTTCAGCTCCTTAGCAAAACCTTCAAGCCTCAATTCTTCTTTCACAGCTTTGGTGAGGGTAATATACTCCGCTTCAGTGGTTGATAAAAAAAAACTTCTAAAGTGTTGCTTTCCAACTGATTGTTATATAGTTATTCTTTTCTGGATTGCTATAATCATGATTTATAGCAGCATGTGGAATAGGAGTACCATTTTTTGATCCAAAAACACCAGACATGGTTCAATATGTTTTTCTCAGGATCTTTTTTATACCACTATTAAATGTTAAGCACATACTGTGCTTTGATGCCAACTGTAGGTGAGAAAAACACAAGAAGAGGGTTGAGTTGTGTTGACTTTTTCTTTCTTTTAGTACTCTTAAGTTAGATTTTAAACTCAAGGTTATAGAATCTGAGTTAGTTAGAGATAAAAAGTAGATATAAAATGCAAGAAAGAAAAATAACACACACAGTTATCCTAGTTCCTCTTAGAAACCGAGAGTAATCCAGTCCCGTTGTACTTATAAGAGATTTTTACTATAAGAAAACAGGATTACAATTTTTTCAAGCACATAAGTAAGAGACTTCTTTACTGACACATATAAGTATGAGACTTTCTTGCTTAAGCATACAAGATTAAGACTTCCTTGCTCAAACATACAAGTATGAGACTTCCTTGCTCACACACATAAGTATGAGACTTCCTTGGTCAAGCACACAAGCTTAAGACCTCCTTGCTCAAACACATAAGTATGAGACTTCCTTGCTCTAACACACAAGCTAAATACTTTCTTGCTCAAATATACAAGTCTGAGACTTCCTTACTCACACACATACAAGTATGAGACTCCCGTGATTAAGCACACAAGCTTGAGACTTCATTTATCTAACACACAAGATCAAGACTTTCTTGCTCACACACTTAGTAATAGACTTCTAACAATCTACCAAGCATATAAATGATTGTTGGATGAATACACTTGATATACAATCAGAGGTGTATAAATAATACAACACAATAGGACTCTTTTAGGACTTAAGGATTTCTAAGATGTACAAGGATATAAATTCTAAGTTTAGCTTGTGCTAAAACTTTGACAAAGTAACTTCTCTTTAATTTTTCAATCGTTATATATTAGCATGTTCAACGTGTATTCCATATGATGTAGTTGTTGCATTCTTTTCTTCAAGTCTTTTACCTTCTTAAATAGTTAAGAAAACACTTGTAGAAGATGGAATGGTAGAGCCCTTTGAGAAGCTTCAAAAGAGATGTTGGGAGACGTTGAGATGTTTAACCAAAATGCCAGGTTAGCTGAAACGTAGTTTGAAAAAGCTTTGCTACAAAAGGAATTAGAACTTGTATCCCAACAGGCTTTATGAAGAAACTAGAGCTTAGGTCATCACATGATAAAGTATGTTCAGAGATGAACAGTGACTTATTAGTGTGATGTTGGTTATCACTCTATGACTAGATCATGTTTTGATCAGAAACAAACTTCTCCAAAGTCTAGTT